AGGATATACTGTTAAATATTTCAAAACCCCCTCTTTCCTAACTGGTTATGCCCCTTCCTCTTTTTACTGGTCCAGGGGGTTGGTTACACCACGATTACAGGTTTTAGCCGTTGCACAAAGCTTCGCGAAACCGAGACGGAAAGAGATTGCGTTATAGTAGAAGGTCAGGGGAGGGCTAGTTATGCTTTCATCCGTCTTTTTCATCCATCACTGGTATTTTGGCAATAGCAAATGGGCTGAGCCATGAGGCTGTAAGGTGCCTGAGCAAGCTTTTAATTGGCGAGATTGGGTATGAGTGGTACCACCCATCATCCAGCGCTTTCCAAGGGTGGTGGGGCCCTGTGGTGTTTTATAGGTAGTTCTGCAGGTTTCCACTCCTGTTTATTTTCTTTTAAAACAGGGATAAAAGTTTAAAGGCGGGGCTACCAAAGAAGGGTGGCTGATCAAGCCATCTAGGAAACTCGACTCCATCCAAGCTGTTCTTTCTTTTCTCTTTTCTACCAAGGAGCAAGGGATTGAGGGTTTTTTCCAATGGTTTTCCATGCAGGTTTTGCATCAGCTTGACTCGAAATGAAGGTGTCTCCGTGCGCTGCCCCCCATGCTTCCCATGTTGCTTTACATCTCAATGGCTTCCCTCTTGCAGATCCGCTTGAATTCCGCCTGGCAGGTCTCTGAGTTGATCCGGTTGGCTTTCACCACCCCGCAGCTCTCCGAGTCCATGTTGCCTGAGACTTTGAACCTGTTGGAGAGACAGGAGATGAAGCAGCTCCCCCCAGAATGCTCCCTCTCATCTACTAAAGCCGCCCCCCCGGGGCTTTCTATCTGCATCTGAGCATCTCCTCGGGCAACGCTCACATCAGCTGGTCCAAGGGAGCCCCGTCCACCCAGGTCCAGTTTTGAGCACTGACAGGTAAGTGCAGCCCGATCCACACGTGGTTGGTTCCCTCCGTGATGTTGGAGATGAAATCCCGGAGGGGGTTAGAGAGGACAGTGGGACCAGTCCTCCCATAACACACCAGTGCACGGGTTTTGGATACGATGGACAGCCAACCCCGCCAACATGGACCCAGTTTAGGTGGAAACCCAGGTGATTTACACCCCAGGAGGACCTGGCCACCTGCGCTTTTTCCATTACCATCTCTTCCAGGTCCTGGATGATCAGTATTTGAGCTCTCCGCACCTCACAGTCCTCCTTGCTCCCGTTCCAAACCCAACTCTTTTTAGACAGCCCGTAGCACTTCTCCCCGTACGCCATCCAGTTCTCGGGGCAGAGCTTGCACTTGCTTTCTGCTGCAGGAAGAGAGGGAGAAACACACCCAGATCTCACGATCTTTGCTCTCAAAATCAGGCTCAAAGAGGAGCAACCTTCTTCCACGCTCCCCGGACCAGCGTCACTTTGATGCAGCTCTGCATCTCCTCCCCGTTCCCACCGTTTTCTTTCTCATCCTTGCTCACAGACCTCTTATTTCCCTGATTTCTCTTGCACTGGAGGTGGTGGAAGTTGGTTTCTCCCCTTGACCCCCATCAGAAACATCCTTTGCCAAACAACCAACGTCCTGGGGATGGAGCTGCCCAAAACCAGCCAGGAGTCCCCTCAACCCAACGGATAGCAGCAGCTGGACTTTGCTGTTTTTCAGAAGCGTTTATTACGGACCCCTCCATGCTCTGTTTGTAGGGCACGTGCATCTCAAGGGCGTGCGTTAGCCCGCAAAAAAGGGGAGCAGCCAAACCCGGAAGGGAAGGGGCAGGAGACTTCCCACCCCAATTTTACAGGCTGCAAAGGCAACACAGCATGAACAGGGAGATCACCCCCCGAGAATAATCTCCCTGGACTCAGTGCAAAAAAGCAAACTGTGCCCTGCCATGAGGTTAATTTAGATTCTTTTTAAATTATTTTTCTCCTTTTCTTCAGTACAGGGAGTGCCGAGGATACCTGGATAAGTCATCCTGCGCTGGGTCACAGCGGCTTCACTTCAGCTGACCCAAAGTGGCCTTGAAATGTGTGTTCCTGCACTCCTGGAACTACCAAACTTAGCCCGCAAAAAAGGGGAGCAGCCAAACCCGGAAGGGAAGGGGCAGGAGACTTCCCACCCCAATTTTACAGGCTGCAAAGGCAACACAGCATGAACAGGGAGATCACCCCCCGAGAATAATCTCCCTGGACTCAGTGCAAAAAAGCAAACTGTGCCCTGCCATGAGGTTAATTTAGATTCTTTTTAAATTATTTTTCTCCTTTTCTTCAGTACAGGGAGTGCCGAGGATACCTGGATAAGTCATCCTGCGCTGGGTCACAGCGGCTTCACTTCAGCTGACCCAAAGTGGCCTCGAAATGTGTGTTGCTGCACTCCTGGAAAACTACCAAACAGTGCTGGATTTACAATGGGCACGTTGGGTGGGGAATGGGGGGGAATTGCAGCGTTGAGTTGGGAAAAATAAATTTATGCTTGTGAGGAGAAAACCAGCTGCAAAGGCTGCTGCCCCGCGTGCGCAGAAAGCCCTTTTTCTCCATCAAAGTGGAGTTTCTCCCAACTAACCAAGGAGCAGCTTTCTGCTTCTGCTGTGGCCAACCCAAAGGTGTTATTGCAATGGCTGAGCCGGAAGCGATGATGTTTTTGCTTTAAAATATTTTTTGAAGGATGGTTTTCTTGCAAAATTTGTCAGTGGTGAAACATTGGAACAGGCTGCCCAGGGAAGTGGTTGAGTCCCCATCCCTGGAGGTATTTAAAAGATGAGTAGATGAGGCACTTAGGGATATGGTTTAGTGGGCATGGTGGTGTTGGGTCGATGGTTGGACTCGATGATCTTAGAGGTCTTTTCCAACCTCAATGATTCTATGATTCTATGATTTTTAAAGGGAAAAAAAGGGAGAAAACTCCTGCCTTGATTGCAGGGGAATTTGGCACTTGGTTTTCTGCTGGTTTAAGAGCATTTTGTTGACCTGAATATATGGCTTGGTGTCTTTGATGGAAGGCTATTCCCACTCGTCCTGGTGACTCAACGCCATGTGCTGCGTGTCCCGCCGAGCACACGTGTCTGCAAGAGCTCAGCCCAGGTGGGAGAAAATATGAGTGGTTTTGCAGATGTGCAAGTATCAGTTTCCAAAGGAAACATGCATTCTCTCTTATTTCTGGCCACTCCTCCTAAATGTAGGAGGATGTAACCTCCATCGTCCTCCATCACTGGTGTCAAGGGAGTGCTAAGTGAGCGACGGATGAAGGAGGGAAGCTTTTATGGGCAGAGGTGGTGTGGTTAGGTGAAGCTGGTGGAGGAAACCCTCACCGCTCTTCCTGCTGCACCAGCGTAGCCCTCTGCAAGATGCAGGTCTCTGATGAGTGGTGGGCATGGACCTCAGGGTGCTGGAGGCAGCTTTGCAGTGCCTTTCCTTGGGAGGTTGCTGAGGTCTCAGGCTCTTCCTTGCCAAGAAAAGGCTGGAGACCCACCACCGGGAAACATGAGGAACCTCAAGATGGGAAAACACTGGATGCTAAAGAAGAAAGTGCCAGCAACCTTGATGATTTGGGAGCACTCATTCTCCTTCCAAAGACTTCTGTGCCCAACCATGAAGCTGTGACACTGCTTTTTTTGCAGCCTGTTCTCACTTTGGGGAAAACCCTGCCTGTCACCTTGAGTGACCTCCTGGGTCTGGCCATGCACAGTTTGGTGCCCTTTTTTTTTGCACGTGTTGCCTCCGCCGTTGCCCCCACACTTGATGGCATGAAAATCACCACCATAACCCAAGCGACGGCCTCCCAGGACCAGCAGTGGAGGAATACCTGAACCTTTGATCCCCGTGACCCAGCTCTGAGTCTTAGGGCTTGTGGTTAGAGCGGTTTGGAGCGGGGATGAGTTAGATCTTACGTGTCCTGATGGTATTTTCTATGAATACAGAAAGAAGCAGCAAGACCCAAAGTCGCCTCCTATGACTTACGGTCTTGCCGCCTGCTTTTCTGGAAAGCATCGCGGTCCACGAGGGATTATTTCTCTCCCTGGGTGCTTGGCTTGCACGTGAGCATCTTTGTTGGACGCATCTTCAACCGGTCAAGGTGGATCCCAGGCTTGGGCATTTGGGTAGGCGATGATGAGCATGGCCACCTCCTCCTTCCCTGGGGACACGATGTCTGCGGTCAGGGGGCTGGAGCAACCCCCCACACCCTTGGCACCCTGAGAAGAGCCTGGCCCCATCTTTCCCGTATCGCCCATTGAGCAGGGCAGGCAACCCCCGGTTTGGTGAGAAATGAAGAAATTATCATTCCCATGAGGCAGGGAATGGGGTGAGCCAGGATCCGGACAGCATCAATCAAGCTCATTGTCCCTGAAAAACATAGTCCTTTTTTGGGGGGGGGGGTAAAAGAGGATGTTTCAGGCAATCGACCGGACGGCGTGTGTCTGCGGCCAGATAACACCCCCAGGCCTCAAACGCTTACTTCCAGCCACGGGGGCCTTCCCAGGGCAGCCCAGACAGTCTCCCCACACTTTCTCACCGTCTTCAATGCTCCCAGCCCTCCTCCCCAAAGTTTGTTTGTTTGTTTGTTTTAATTTTCCCACTGGGTTTAAACTCCCGTCTCGCACCTCCTTCTCCTTAGAGCTGGTTTTAATTTGAGCCTGTTGCTTTTGCTCCTTGATGGAAGAAAGCAGCAGTCAGCCCAGCACCTTGGTTTTTCCTCCACTGTAGCAAGAAGAGATGACTCAAAGTCACATTAGCATAGCCTGACCCCAGCTTCATGTGCAAACCATTTCAAACGAGCTTCAGAAGCTGCCGGAACGGTTGAGAAATGACTGCAAACCTTTGGGGAGCAGGGAGGGCACGGTGCCTTCAGTATCACCTGCCTACAGGTCTCTGTTAAAAATCCCCACCCGTCTGGATTTATTGAGCAAAAATGACAGGGGGGGGGAAAAAAAATCCTCCTCTTGCTTGGAAACGCTTAAGCGTAAAGCCTAAAGCAACCAACAGTTTCTTGAGGTGGTCCTTCACCCCTTTGCCCTGCCTACAAGCCCAAGGAGACACCCCAAGGACGAGAGCCAAGGTGCTGGGGTACAGCTGAGCACTGGGACTTGTGACCGTTGAGGGCGTGCATCGACCCTCCCCGCACGCAACGATACTCAACCAGCAGCAGGAAGCTGATTACACTTACAGCATGATCCACCAGTAAGGTAAGTTCTGGGAAAAGCAGCTTCTTGCCTGTAAAGATTGGGGCTGACTGAGTCACTACCAGCTAGAGCGACGCTGGGGCTGGGATGGGGAGGACCACCCAGAGGGAGAGAGGTCTCTTATTTGGGGGGCTGAAATAATGAGCTGTGGCAAATTGAAGGGAGGGAAGAAAAAAAAAACAACCCACCACCCCAAACCCCCAAATCACTACTTTTCAGCTGGTTTCATCGAAGCTTTTGCCACCACGGGTGCCCTGTCCTCCCTGCGTTTTTTATTGTGGTTGTTTTGAGCTTCTGGACGTGGTTTTTTCAGCTGGTTTTTCAAATTTTTTTCTCTCTGTTTTGCTGCTTTGTAAGCACTTTTCAGCGCTGCTTTTTTTTTTTTTCCCAGCCCCTTCTAGCTAACAGGGTTGCTTTCTCTGGAAGGGAATTAAGAAAATCATGGTGAAAAGAGGTGAATAATCATATGATAAAAAGGACTTAGATTGGTTTCATTTAAGTGGAATTAATAGTGGATTTGGGGGATCTGGAGTGGATCGGCTGGAAACCATAGTGGGCTTGGGAGGGATAAAACCTGGGCAGGAGCTCAGGCTGCCCTCTGTGATCTCTTAATTTTGGGGGTGGGTGAAAAAACCCGAATCTCCATGTGGTCTTTTTTAGGGGAATTTTGTTTAATTTTTACAGTCGTCATTACAAAGCAGAGCCAAAAGCAGAAGATAAGTTTCTAGCTTGAAATGGGGAAACTGAAAGCTTGGGCGGGGGACTTTTTTTTATCTCAAGACGATACTTTCATTTCTCGTATCTTAACGCTTCAGCCTAACAGCTCACCCAGCCCAGGGCTGGAGGGTTTCTAGCTCAAACCCTGCTCAGAGAGAGGACAGCCCACCCTTGTTACGAATCTTTCTCTTCTCTACTGCCAAATTTAACCCTCAAACTGCTTCTGAAACGCTATACCCGAGCACATCCTCAAGCACTGAATTTCCCTCCTGCAAATCCCCCGTGCAGGGGAAGGGAAATTCTTTGCGCTTCTTCCTTATTTACCGACAACCACAACCTGCCCCTACGTGGCTTTAGACCTTATTCCCAGAACCAAATTTTATTGTTGCATCAAGCCCAGCTTGTCGAGGCGCGTCCTTGGTAGGCTCCTACTGGTTTATTTTGTAATGTAATTACACAATGCCCGGGGCGGGAATAAATGCTGGTGCAACCCATTGGCTCAGCTACAGGAAAACAAGTGTGCCCTTTGCTCCATGCAAGCTCAGGCGCTGGAGGAACTGAGATAAGGGTGAACGGAGATTAAGGTTTTCCGGAGAACAAAACAAGTTTGCTGCGAGCAGCTGCTACGCAGGCAACTTCAACATCAGCAGTCGTTTTGTTTTAAGCTGTTTCTTCCCCTCCTGTGGGTTTCTTGCGGGGGGTCAAACTCCGAGCTCTGGTTTGACCCCTCAGGGAGTTTGCTCTCTCACTGCAGTGACAGCTCCTGACCCCTTGGCTCCTTCGTAAACCCTTAAAATCCCTTTAAACTGTCAGTAGTTAGTAACTCATATTTTTCTTTTAATATCTTTTAATATTTAAACTCCCTTTAAACATCCCTTCTTTTCTCTCCTCTCCCCTTTTTTTCCTTCCCTCTCCCCTTTCTCTCTTTCTCCCCTCTCCCCTTTCTCTCTTTCTCTCCTCCCTCTTTTTTTTCCCCCTCCCCCTCTTCATCTTCTCTCGCTTTGTCCTTCTTTGTCTGTCTTCTTTCTGTCTTTCTTTCCCCCCCCAGTGTGTTTTTAGCATAGGACAAACGTGCTCCCCTGCCATGGCTTCCCATGGTACCTGGTGCCCACGAGGTCTTGGAGCGTTGCAGAGGCAAAAAAAAAAAAAAAACAGGCTCTGGATGGCTTGATGGGATCTTGCAAAGGCGGGAGGCATGACTGGCTGCAGACTTTCTCAGCCTTTTCCTTGTTAACGTGCAGCCTGAGGAGCGGTCCCTGCAGACGCTGGCTGAACACGAGCCCCTGGGTCGCACGACAGTCCGGTCCTTCTCAGCCCACGATGGGGAAAGGAGCCAAAGAACCAAATTGTTCAGACCAAGAGGAAGTGTTGAGTAACTGCAACGATGTAGAGAAAGAGTACGAACAGGGTAATGCTGGGGAAAAAAACAACGCTCTGGGTGAGGGCAGGTGGGAAGAGCATCTCGCTCCGGTGGAGCACCAGTGGGATGGGGACGGAGTTTTTGGGTGGGTGCAGATGGACCCAAGCACATCTACCCTAAATTTCATGATGTGGCCACCTTGAAAGGCTGAAAAGCCTAAATCCATCTCCAGGTCCTCAAACACACATTGGTGCCTTTGAAGGACACACGTCTGCTCTCCCTGCCTTGCGGGCAGCCCCTTGAGCCTCTGCGAGCTCTCCCCACCCTCCTGAGCCCCAAAAAGGTCCCCGTCCCAACCAGGGCTTGGGATGGACTGAGGATCCAGCAGAAAAAGGGCAAAGGAGGTGGAGGGAGGAAAGGACCCAGCCCACACCCTCTCCTGCTCTTTCCTCCCCCAGGCTCCAACACCGAGAAGTCAGACAGGGAAAGATCCCGCTTGTTGCGGGTTTTCATCCCCGTGTGCGTGGTGCTGGTGCTCACCATCTTCGTCCTGCTGGTGGCCTTGGCTGGTGAGTCCCATCCAGGCATCCCCCATGGAGAGGATCTGGACCAGGCGCCCCTGTTTCGGGGAAGGGGGGATCGCAGGATTTTCCCAGCATCAGGGGATGCTTCCCAAGCAAAGCACCAAGCCCGCTTCGGGGGGGACGGACACCCCCTTTTTTCCCTAAACTGTGATCCAGGCATCCTGGCTCCTCGCTGGGTTACGCCATTCACTTTCCCAAGGGCATTGTCGCCAATTCCCCCCCTGAAGCTTCTAGGAAAAAAATAATAAATCCTATTTTCCTGCTTTTTAGTGCTGCCCATGCATCTCACTCAGCTTTTTCTTTCTCAGTTGTACATTTGGGACGCTCTTTGCCTCACCCGGACTTCTCCCACGTGTGCCCAGACACCTGGCTTGGTTTCCAAGGGAAATGCTATTATTTTTCTGAGGCCGAGAACGATTGGATGACCAGTCGGGAAAGGTGTGAGGCCCTGGGAGCTTCACTGGCCCTTATAAGCACCATGGATGAACTGGTGAGAACTGTGCTTGAGCCCCTACGCTAGCACCAGGGTAGGAAACATGGAAAAAGAAAACAAAAAAGAGGCCAAAAAAAAAAAGGGGGAGCAAAAAAAAAAAACCAGACCAAAAACCTGCTTGGCCCCAAATTGCACCCAATGCTGTAGCCAGGAGCAGATGCCTCAGGGAAAGCACCATCTCTGGGTGGGGTGATGGCCACAGGTAGAAAAGAGGAGGTGGGGAAGACAAGACTAGCTAAAACATGATGTTTCTCTGCTTTAAAGGCCTTCATTAAACGCTATAAAGGCGAAGCTAACCATTGGTTTGGGCTGCAAAAGGAGAAGGATGGGAGCTGGTGGTGGACCAACGGCACAGCCTTCAACAACTGGTCGGTCCCTCTGTCCATGTTGGGTGCTTGGGGTTGGCCACTGGGGCAGATTTCCCTCTTGGTGTGGTTGGAAATGGCCCCGGGGGGCTGTTGCGCTGCTTCTCCCCGCTTGGATGGGATTTCTTAGAGGGTCTGGGATGACCCGTCCTGGGATGGGGACCTTCTCCTGCCACCGTGCCCAAGCAGCCCCTGGCTTTCCATGGGAGGTTTGGGATGGACCAAGGATGCTGCACACCAATCCCCTATTAGATACCCTCAGCCAAACGCCACCCCTTCTCTCCTAGAGAGGAAATCCCAGGTTTTCTTAATTTTTTTGGGGGTAGCTTTCTTCTTTTCCTCCTTTTCTTGCTCTCCTGAGCACGTCTGCATTGCAGGTTTAAGGTGTGGGGTGGTGGATCCTGTGCATACCTCAACCAGGAGAGGATCAGCTCATCCCTGTGCCACACCAAGAAGAACTGGCTCTGCAGCAGACCAGACAACTACATCCTCTGGCAGCAAAAAGCATATCCATCAAAAAAGACCCCATAAACAGGAGCTTCATCCCAGGTGAAGGAGAACTGAGCACAGTTTGCTTTGGTAAAACCTTATACCCGACTCTATCAGCAACATTTATGAGTTTGCATTTTTATGAGACTCAGAATCATTGAGGTTGGAAAAGACCTCCAAGATCATTGAGTCCAACCGTCAACCCAACACCACCGTGCCCACTAAACCAT